AGCAACAAACAAACAACACAAACATGTCATCGTGGGGTGAACAAGTGATCGGAAGCAAACCTGTTCTACGAAACGGCAGGCAATCCCACATTTAGCTCATACTGTGGCAACAACATTCCCAACGGCGGCCAACGCCAGATTGCAAAGACAACACAGCCCGCTAACCCGCCTACGGAAACAGGACAACCGTGTATATGTGTGCGTGACAAACATGGCACACCTATCTTCAAATCCAGCACCACTTAAACCACACCCTGGAATGATTGCCACCCCGGGGTGGAAGCTGCTAATGTCAAAAACGACTCCGAGGCCATCAGGATCGACAATTGATGTTCGCGCCAGATCCCACCGAAACTCCCAACCACAGGTCTAGAAATCCTGCATCCAAAGCCCACACAAAACGGACTTGGAGGTGGGGAGCTGAAGGGCGCCCCTGTGAAGTGGAGAAGCCGTGCTCTCAACCGTGGAGGCCTCGCAGCCGGCATCGCCAATCTGGTTCTCCCAAAGCTGCAGCAGCTCCAGGGCAGTGGTGCCCTCCAGGCCGCGGGCCAGTGCCTGCGGGGACGGTGCTCGCAGGCCCTTGAAGGTGGGGATTGAGGCCTTTGTCCGAACAAAGTTTCGAGACTGACTAGATGTAGGACTTGATACCAGCCCTGCTGCGGTTCTTTTCATCTCAGCTGGATGTTTGAACGCGTTTGCTTTCAAGAAGCCTGCGCTGGACATCGTTACGTAAACCGCACAGAATCCATGATTGACATCGCCCTTTCCAGATGCAAGTGACAAGGCACATCCACAACTGGCAAACCATTCTTGTCTGCCAAAAGCAGAGCTCACCGACCCCCGCCCGGGGCGGCAAAACTATCTTCTTGCAACGGAGCAGATTGACATGTTGAAATCTCGGGGGTGTCATGAATAGTCAATTTCTCTTTACTCCTCATTTGGGAGGTTTATCTTACCCCCTCGCCCCCTCAAACTTCCCCTCCCCCTTCCCGCCTGGGCGCCCTTGACCCCGATCTGGTTTTGGTTGAGCTGCAATTTCTGCAGCCGCGGCATCTGCCGCAGCGCCGCGCCCAGGGCCTGGCCCCAGCCCCCGGCCTCCGCCCCCCGGAGCTCCGCCCCCAACCTCCGCCGAGCCCTTCGAACCCACGGGTTCCGGCCCAGACCCCGGCGCAGGGAGCATCCGAAAGGTTTGAGCTCCACTTGGGACTCGGGAAAGCTTCGAGAGCATTCAGCAAAAGCTCAAGCACCAACTTCCAAATTGCACATCATGCCTGGCAAATGTCTGCTTGCTATGCCACTGGATTTGCAACGGAGGGGTATTTATTTTAGAACGTTGTCTTTTTTTCGGATTTTTTTTTTCGCTTTTGGCTTCTTGGCTTCTTGGCTTTTGGGCTTCTTGGCTTCTCGGCTTCTTGGCTTCTTGGTTTCTTGGCTTTTGGGCTTCTTGGCTTAGCTTCTTGGCTTCTCAGCTTCTGGGCTTCTTGGTTTTTTGGCTTCTTGGCTTCTCAGCTTCTGGGCTTCTTGGCTTCTTGGCTTTTCGGCTTCCTGGCTTCTCGGCTTCTGGGGTTTTCGGCTTTTTGCTGGTTTATGCGGCTTTTGGTAGCATTTTGGCTTTTCGCATCCTCTGCCTTCCCAGTTCCTCTTCGGCAGGTGGCGTTTTTGCTTTTGCGGCTTTTCGCTGGTTTATGCGGCTTTTGGCGGCTTTTCGCATCCTTCGGGCTTTTTGGATTTGGCTTCCCGCATCATCAGCATCACCACCACCCTGTTTGAATCATCACTTCTTCGGACATCATGGGGGGGGAACCCCAGATTTCTTGCAGAGATTGAATTGCACCCCTGTTTGAATCATCACTTTTTAGAGCGTCCAATTTCGCGAGAAAATGCTGCAAAATACGACATTCGAAGTAATCTGTGAAATCCATGTATGTCTGTAGGTATGCATTTCTTCGAACATCATAAGGGAAGCCACCCCCGCCAACCCTCCCGCTGCCTTTTAAATTCTATCACATGCACCCCTACTTGAATCATCACTTCTTCCGGCATCATGGGGGGGCTGCCGCCCCCCCCCGACCCCCCCGCTACGTTTTAGATTTTCCACAGAGATTTAATTAATTGCACCCCTAGTTGAATCATCAATTCTTCGAACATCATGGGGGGGGGCTGCCGCCCCACCCCCCCCCCAACCCCCCCGCTACTTTTTAGTGTTTTTTACAGGGATTGAAAAGCCCTCCTACTTGAACCATCATTTCTTTGACCCCATCACACGATTTGTTGGTGATGCTAGAGATGTTGGTCGGACATGCGGGGGATGTTGAAAACGATGCTGGGGATGTTGACGGGCTAGTGTAAAATGCGTCAATTTCGCGAGAAAATGCTGTAAAATCCGACATTTTACTGGCCCGCAGAGATTGAATTGCACCCCTGTTTATATCATCATTTTTTTAGAGCGTCCAATTTAAGGGAAGCCACCCCCGCCAACCCTCCCGCTGCCTTTTAAATTCTATCACACCCTTTCTTGAATAATTCCACCCCTACTTGAATCATCACTTCTTCCGGCATCATGGGGGGGCTGGAGGATATCGAGACGGGAGGCACAGGGGATTGGACACCCATGACTTCCTAGATGGTGGAGGTCACCAGAGGAGAACGCATGAGGATAGAACTCAAGGCGTTGGGACAGTGGCTGAGGAGGAGATGTTCCTGCAGACAAAGATCATCAGGTGAGGAGGGAAATGGAGATGTGGGTGCCGACGATGAAGAATGAAGTTGGAGCCCTCCTGGAAAAGATGGCCATCCGGGAGGTGAGAGAAGAGGAAGTAGATAGGTGGGAAAGGGAAGGAGAGCTGAAAGCAGGTGACGGGAGTCGTACACGTCCGGCCTGGAAGCGGGGCGCTGTTGCGGAAGGCGGCGGCAATGAAATGGGCCGTGGGAAGCTTGGACATCCGCACGGCGTTCCTGAATGCTAGCCATCGGGTGGTGGTGAGACCGCCGAAGATCCTCCTGGACGCAAAGGTGGTGAACCCGGGAGTCATGTGGTCATGTGGGAGGTGACCAAGGCCTTGTGTGGGTTGCGGGCATCGCCGGCGGACTGGGGGGCCCATCAAGACGACACCCTCAGGTGGACCTCGGAGGCGGGAAGGAGTTGGTGTTGCGCCAGGCGTTTGCGGACGAGAACCTCTGGAAGATAAGGCTCGGGGGCGCCACGGTGGGGTTTATCTGCTGCTACGTGGATGACACGATGATCGTGGGGGAGACAAACATCGTGGAGGCGATGGCGCAGCACATCAAGAAGGAGTGGGAGGCGACGGACCTGGAGTGGGTCAACGCGGACAAGCCGGTGAAGTTCTGCGGGGTGGAGGTGATGAGAGACCCCAGCGGAGGAGCAAGTCTGTTGGTGGGGCAGGAGGACCACATCAACAACATCCTCAACAGGTACGAGGGGGAGGTGAAGGAGAAGACCATCCTGGCGCCTAAGCAGATCGAGAAGGATGGGGAAGACGAGGAGCAGGATGCGGAGATGGTTCGGCTGGCGCAGACATTCGCGATGGGGATCTACCTGCTGGGCTACCTCAAGAGGACGGTGGGGTGCAAGCTGGAGTTCGGGGGCGCTGCGAAGGGGCATGCGTGGAGAAAACGGGGAGTTCCTGCATGAGCGGGGTGGAGGTCTACGCGGACGCAGGCTTTGGGCCGGATGGCGGCCGGTCCCAGCAGGGCGTGGTCGTGAGCTACGGTGGGTGTCCGATCCACTGGACGAGGAGGCAGCCGTTTGTGGCGAGGTCGACGGCAGAGGCAGAGCTGCTGGCGGCAATGGGAGAGGCGTGGGCGGAGATCGCCGATCTGGAGGACAGGAAAGTCGCGTCGGTGTGGGATAAGGCTGGGATCGATGTGGAAGGTCGAGACCAGCTCGAAGCACTGAAGTTGGTGATGCAGGACAATGCGGCGGCGGTGACGCTGTTGCAGGATCCCGGCGGGTCATGGCGGACAAGGCCACTCAAGATCAGGGCTCGGGCGGCTCGGGGCCGGAGTGGAAGGTTGCCTTGGATTCGGAGGCAAAGCTGTGGGAGGAGGTGAAGAGGGTCTTCCCGGGGATCAGGAAGGCGCCAGTGGGGACCGAGGACCGCTGGATTGAGAAGGAGTGTTGCATCAAGGCGCATTGCCGGAGGAGGGTCTCGGAGTTTGACCCGCGGAAAGGAAGGATGCCTGGCATGGGGATCGGCCCGGAGCGCATCACAGTCATGAGGACCAGGCCTGTCTTCGTGGTTGGTGGAGACTATCGCCTGAGGGAATGGACAGACTACAGCGTCTTCAAAAAAGAAGGAGACGCGGAATGAGGGGTCTTGAGCTGGGAGGAGCGCTGAGCGCGAATCCGATTCGGCAGACTGCCGAAGGGGGGTGCATGAGCCCCGCTTTTGCGATTGAACATGCATGAGGGATGCGAATACTGCAGACCCTTTTATTGCCCAAAGGAAACAGGGCGCCGAGCTCTAACAAAAGCAAAGAAGTCACTCAGCATGTTTGGTGATGTCGGGTTGGGGGTGGTGGGAGGCCAAATCTAATTCGTTCAGATACTTGAGATGGCGAATTATTGTGTTCACGTCAGAAGTGTTCCAGGAGAAGGCAATTGATTGGGACTAACCTCGAAGCCAAGGGCTCCTGCATACCTCTTGCAGATGTTTCGCTACCTCAACTCAACCCACAACCAAGAGAACAAACACAGCAAGACCCACGCCATCACCATAAATAGCAACACAGGCTTGGCAGACGCAATTGCAAGCCAGCTGAGAAACGAAACATTTGACCATCCCCATAGTTGGCTCTTCTGTCAAGCCTATTCATTACCGTCAAAGCTTGTCAAAATCACGTGGCCACAAAGATCGCTAAATTCCGCCAAACAACAACGCTGCCACCCGGAGCCAACACCCAGAGCCACGAAGGGCAACTCTCGCACGCGCCTCCGCCCCCATCCCCCGGCCCTGGCCCCGGGCTCCGATTGCCCCGGCCTCGGCCCCGGCGTCCCCGAAGCCGTTGGTGTCGAGGCTCAGCTCCCGGAGCCCGCGGTGCCCGGCGAGGGCGGCGGCCAGCGCCTGCCCAGCGACCCAGCGGGCGGCCCGGAGGCCCAGGGCCTTTGGCCCCGGTGCCACAGGCTCCGGCGCACTCCGCCCGACACTGCGCCCCAATTCCCCAGTGCAGGGAGCCTCCGAAAGCTTCGAAGCTCCACTTGGGACAAAAATGCCTCAAGAGCTTGAGAGCTGAAACGCCACCTTCAAAATTGGACAGAAGCCTGTCAGCACCGTGCCCGGTAAGTTGTCTACTGGCTGAAAACCTCTCCGGCAGTGCGGGAAAAGAGAAAAAGCCAAAGGATATGGTGCAGGTTTCAGTCTCAATCAAACAGGCACGTGAGGCTGGCAAAGGAACGTCACGATTTCGAGCACCATTTGGAAGAAGTGACGGCTTGCAAAGCAACTCTATTCGGGCATCTTTCAAGTGAAGAAAGGCGAGCAAGGTTTTTGTTCCTGCAATGGCAGAAATACAGGCAGGGGAGAGGGATTTCAGGTAATGAGGGGCAGGATCCATCATTCAAGGAACATGTTGCTTGGAGCTGTGGCTTGTGGCCTCAAAAGCTTGCAATTTTTGCCATGGTCACGGAATGATGCTCAGGGGCGACTGGGGCAACAACCATATCTTGGGGAGCTCATGCGCTTAAAACATCATCGGAAGAACATGTGTCCCTGTTCATCTCAAGGCTTTGGAGCACCCTGGCGCCAGCCTTTTGGACCAACTCTGGAGCCAGCGCAAAACAAGCAATTCTTTGAAGACTCTGCTCATGATATGGCTGAATCCAGTAAGTTATGGCGGGAGTAATCTGACACTGGCCATTATGGAAGGGATCACAAAAAGAAATATATATATATCTTCCAACTCAGCCGCCGAACCGCCTGTCATCCATGACCTAAACCTCCAGCCACTTCCTGTCAAAAGCAGGCAGGGATGTTCCACTTCCCCACGCCCTGTTGCAGGGAGAGTCTGAAAGCTTTGAAGCTCTGCTTGGGGAGCTTTGAGCAAAAGCTCAATCACCACCTTCGCAAATTTGCACACAAGCAATGCAGCATTGTGCCTGGCAAGCGCGATTTGCTAACTGTGTGAACACTTGCTGCATTTGCACCCTCTCCGGGAGCGTGGAAAACATATGGGGCATGTGACAGCTGCCTCAAAGCAAACAGAATGCAATTAATGAGCAGCTTACAAAGTTCACCACATAACGCGAGCAAACAAAACCCTTCCATGTATCCTCAAAGTGGGCTCCTTCGACTGACTGGCTGTGTGTAGGTGTCCGCTCCCGTACTCAATCTGGAGCTTGGGTCCGGCACACCCTTCTTCTTAGGACCTGTCCCGCTACCTGAAGCCGAGCCAATCCGAGCCACACACCACCACCCACAGAGAATGAGGAGAGAGCAACAAACAAACAACACAAACATGTCACCATCAGCCCTTCTCCCACTCTCAATTTGCACCCTCGCACATAGCAACACAATCGTGGGGTGAACAAGCGATCGGAAGCAAACCTGTTCTACGAAACGGCAGGCAATCCCACATTTAGCTCATACTGAGTCATACTGTGGCAACATCATTCCCAACGGCGGCCAACGCCAGATTGCAAAGACAACGCAGCCCGCTAACCCGCCAACGGAAACAGGACAACCGTGTATATGTGTGCGCGACAAACATGGCACACCTATCTTCAACTCGCAAACCACACAACGCATTTCCTCTGCCACCCCGGGAGTGGAAGCTGCTAATGTCAAAACGACTCCGAGGCCATCAGGATCGACAATTGATGTTCGCGCCAGATCCCACCCCGAAACTCCCAACCACAGGTCTAGAAATCCTGCATCCAAAGCCCACACAAAACGGACTTGGAGGTGGGGAGCTGAAGGGCGCCCCTGTGAAGTGGAGAAGCCGTGCTCTCAACCGTGGAGGCCTGGCAGCCGGCATCGCCAATCTGGTTCTCCCAAAGCCGCAGCAGCTCCAGGGCAGTGGTGCCCTCCAGGCCGCGGGCCAGTGCCTGCGGGGACGGTGCTCGCAGGCCCTTGAAGGTGGGGATTGAGGCCTTTGTCCGAACAAAGTTTCGAGACTGACTAGATGTAGGACTTGATACCAGCCCTGCTGCGGTTCTTTTCATCTCAGCTGGATGTGTGCGCTGGACATCGCTACGTAAACCGTTCAGAATCCATGATTGACATCGCCCTTTCCAGATGCAAGTGACAAGGCACATCCACAACTGGCAAACCATTCTTCTGTGCCAAAAGCAGAGCTCACCGACCCCCGCCCGGCGCGGCAAAACTATCTTCTTGCAACGGAACAGATTGACATGTTGAAATCTCGGGGGTGTCATGAATAGTCAATTTCTCTTTACTCCTGATTTGGGAGGTTTATCTTACCCCCTCGCCCCCTCAAACTTCCCCTCCCCCTTCCCGCCTGGGCGCCCTTGACCCCGATCTGGTTTCGCTGGAGCCTCAGCGTCTGCAGCCGCGGCATCTGCTGCAGCGCCACGCCCAGGGCCTGGCCCCAGCCCCCGGCCTCCGCCCCCCGGAGCTCCGCCCCCAACCTCCACCGAGCCCTTCGAACCCACGGGTTCCGGCCCCAGACCCCGGCGCAGGGAGCATCCGAAAGGTTTGAGCTCCACTTGGGACTCGGGAAAGCTTCGAGAGCTTTGGGCAAAAGCTCAAGCACCAACTTCCGAATCACACTCAGGCAGCGTGCGAAAAGAGTGAAGCCAAAAAAAGACATGGGGAAGCTGAAGTTCACCAACCCGCAAACGAGGGCCGTCTATGAACTCTCCAAACCCGAGCACCATGTGAACAACAGTTCCGTCAGCAAGGCGCGGCTTGTGAAAAAGAGAAGAGAGGCCTTCGGCCCTGAAAGCAGAGTGAGCACGAAAGTTATTGCCGACAAGCATGACAACGTTTGGTGATGTCGGGTTGGGGGTGGTGGGGGGCCAAATCGCAGGTACTTAAGATGGCGAATGATTGTGTTCACGCCAGAAGTGTTCCCAGAGAAGGCAATTGATTGAGACTAACCTCAAAGTCAAGGGCTCCTGAGGGGTCCTGCATACCTCTCGCAGGTGTTTCGCTACCTCAACTCGACCCACAAACCACCTGCACACAGGCAAGAGAACAAACAAAGCAAGAGTAAATAGCAACACAGGCTTGGCAGACGAAATTGCAAGCAAGCTGAGCAGCGAAACATTTGACCATCCCCACAGTTGGCTCTTCTGTCAAGCCTATTCATTACCGTCAAAGCTTGTCAATCATGTGGCCACAAAGATCGCTAAATTCCAGACGGCCAAAAAAAACGCCACGCTGCCACCCGGAGCCAACACCCAGAGCCACGGGGGGGCAACTCTCTCGTCCCCGGGCTCCGATTGCCCCGGCCTCGGCCCCGGCGTCCCCGAAGCCGTTGATGCCGAGGCTCAGGGCCCGGAGCCCGCGGTGCCCGGCGAGGGCGGCGGCCAGCGCCTGCCCGGCGACCCAGCGGGTGGCCCGAAGGCCCAGGGCCTTTGGCCCCGGTGCCACGGGCTCCGCCCAACACTCCGCCCGACACTCCGCCCCAATTCCGCCGGTGCAGGGAGCCTCCGAAAGCTTTGAAGCTCCACTTGGGACAAAAAAGCCTCAAGAGCTCGAGAGCTGAAACGCCACCTTCAAAATTGGACAGAAGCCTGTCAGCACTGTGCCTGGTAAGTTGTCTGCTGGCTGAAAACCTCTCCGGCAGTGCGGGAAAAGAGAAAAAGCCAAAGGATATGGTGCAGGTTTCAGTCTCAATCAAACAGGCACATGAGGCTGACAAAGGAACGTCACGATTTCAAGAACATTGGAAGAAGTGACGGCTTGCAAAGCAACTCTATTCGGGCATCTTTCAAGTGAAGAAAGGCGAGCAAGCTTTTGTTCCTGCAATGGCAGAAATACAGGCAGGGGAGAGGGATTTCAGGTAATGAGGGGCAGGATCCATCATTCAAGGAACATGTTGCTGGGAGCTGTGGCTCGTGGCCTCAAAAGCTTGCAATTTTTGCCATGGTCACGGAATGATGCTCAGGGGCGACTGGGGCAAAAACCATATCTTGGGGAGCTCATGCGCTTAAAACATCATCGGAAGAACATGTGAATTCCTCTCCCTGTTCATCTCAAGGCTTTGGAGCACCCTGGCGCCAGCCTTTTGGACCAACTCTGGAGCCAGCGCAAAACGAGCAATTCTTTGAAGACTCTGCTCATGATATGGCTGAATCCAGTAAGTTATGGCGGGAGTAATCTGACACTGGCCATTATGGAAGGGATCACAAAAAGAAATATATATATATATATATATATATATCTTCCAACTCAGCCGCCGAAACGCCTGTCATCCATGACCTAAACCTCCAGCCACTTCCTGTCAAAAGCAGGCGGGGATGTTCCACTTCCCCACGCCCTGTTGCAGGGGGAGTCTGAAAGCTTTGAAGCTCTGCTTGGGGAGCTTTGAGCAAAAGCTCAATCACCACCTTCGCAAATATGCACACAAGCAATGCAGCATTGTGCCTGGCAAGCGCGATTTGCTAACTGTGTGAATACTTGCTGCATTTGCACCCTCTCCGGGAGCGTGGAAAACATATGGAGCATGTGACAGCTGCCTCAAAGCAAACAGAATGCAATTAATGAGCAGCTTACAAAGTTCACCACATAACGCGAGCAAACAAAACCCTTCCATGTATCCTCAAAGTGGGCTCCTTCGACTGACTGGCTGTGTGTAGGTGTCCGCTCCCGTGCTCAAGCTGTGGGCTCAGCTGTGGGTTCCATTCCCCAAACTCACACCTCTTGCAGGGAACAACTCTGAAAAAAGGCTCTGCTGAGACACACATCAGCTCAAAACGGAGCTTGGGTCCGGCACACCCTTCTTCTTAGGACCTGTCCCGCTACCTGAAGCCGAGCCAATCCGAGCCACACACCACCACCCACAGAGAATGGGAGAGAGCAACAAACAAACAACACAAACATGTCACCATCAGCCCTTCTCCCACTCTCAATTTGCACCCTCGCACATAGCAACACAATCGTGGGGTGAACAAGCGATCGGAAGCAAACCTGTTCTACGAAACGGCAGGCAATCCCACATTTAGCTCATACTGACTCATACTGTGGCAACATCATTCCCAACGGCGGCCAACGCCAGATTGCAAAGACAACGCAGCCCGCTAACCCGCCAACGGAAACAGGACAACCGTGTATATGTGTGCGCGACAAACATGGCACACCTATCTTCAACTCGCAAACCACACAACGCATTTCCTCTGCCACCCCGGGAGTGGAAGCTGCTAATGTCAAAACGACTCCGAGGCCATCAGGATCGACAATTGATGTTCGCGCCAGATCCCACCCCGAAACTCCCAACCACAGGTCTAGAAATCCTGCATCCAAAGCCCACACAAAACGGACTTGGAGGTGGGGAGCTGAAGGGCGCCCCTGTGAAGTGGAGAAGCCGTGCTCTCAACCGTGGAGGCCTCGCAGCCGGCATCGCCAATCTGGTTCTCGCAAAGCTGCAGCAGCTCCAGGGCAGTGGTGCCCTCCAGGCCGCGGGCCAGTGCCTGCGGGGACGGTGCTCGCAGGCCCTTGAAGGTGGGGATTGAGGCCTTTGTCCGAACAAAGTTTCGAGACTGACTAGATGTAGGACTTGATACCAGCCCTGCTGCGGTTCTTTTCATCTCAGCTGGATGTTTGAACGCGTTTGCTTTCAAGAAGCCTGCACTGGACATCGCTACGTAAACCGTACAGAATCCATGATTGACATCGCCCTTTCCAGATGCAAGTGACCAAAAGCAGAGCTCACCGACCCCCGCCCGGCGCGGCAAAACTACCAAATCAATGATCTTCTTGCAACGGAACAGATTGACATGTTGAAATCTCGGGGGTGTCATGAATAGTCAATTTCTCTTTACTCCTGATTTGGGAGTTGTATCATTACCCCCTCGCCCCCTCAAACTTCCCCTCCCCCTTCCCGCCTGGGCGCCCTTGACCCCGATCTGGTTTTGGTTGAGCTGCAATTCCTGCAGCCGCGGCATCTGCCGCAGCGCCGCGCCCAGGGCCTGGCCCCAGCCCCCGGCCTCCGCCCCCCGGAGCTCCGCCCCCAACCTCCACCGAGCCCTTCGAACCCACGGGTTCCGGCCCCAGACCCCGGCGCAGGGAGCATCCGAAAGGTTTGAGCTCCACTTGGGACTCGGGAAAGCTTCGAGAGCTTTGGGCAAAAGCTCAAGCACCAACTTCCGAATCACACTCAGGCAGCGTGCGAAAAGAGTGAAGCCAAAAAAAAGACATGGGGAAGCTGAAGTTCACCAACCCGCAAACGAGGGCCGTCTATGAACTCTCCAAACCCGAGCACCATGTGAACAACAGTTCCGTCAGCAAGGCACGGCTTGTGAAAAAGAGAAGAGAGGCCTTCGGCCCTGAAAGCAGAGTGAGCACGAAAGTTATTGCCGACAAGCATGACAACGTTTGGTGATGTCGGGTTGGGGGTGGTGGGGGGCCAAATCGCAGGTACTTAAGATGGCGAATGATTGTGTTCACGCCAGAAGTGTTCCCAGAGAAGGCAATTGATTGAGACTAACCTCAAAGTCAAGGGCTCCTGAGGGGTCCTGCATACCTCTCGCAGGTGTTTCGCTTCCTCAACTCGACCCACAAACCACCTGCACACAGGCAAGAGAACAAACAAAGCAAGAGTAAATAGCAACACAGGCTTGGCAGACGCAATTGCAAGCAAGCTGAGCAGCGAAACATTTGACCATCCCCACAGTTGGCTCTTCTGTCAAGCCTATTCATTACCGTCAAAGCTTGTCAATCATGTGGCCACAAAGATCGCTAAATTCCAGACTGCAAAAAAAAGCCACGCTGCCACCCGGAGCCAACACCCAGAGCCACGGGGGGGCAACTCTCTCGTCCCCGGGCTCCGATTGCCCCGGCCTCGGCCCCGGCGTCCCCGAAGCCGTTGGTGGCAAGGTTCAGGTCCCGGAGCCCGCGGTGCCCGGCGAGGGCGGCGGCCAGCGCCTGCCCAGCGACCCAGCGGGCGGCCCGGTGAAGGCCAGGGTGCCACGGGCTCCGCCCGACACTCCGCCCAACACTCCGCCCCAATTCCCCGGTGCAGGGAGCCTCCGAAAGCTTCGAAGCTCCACTTGGGACAAAAATGCCTCAAGAGCTTGAGAGCTGAAACACCACCTTCAAGATTGGACAGAAGCCTGTCAGCACCGTGCCCGGTAAGTTGTCTGCTGGCTGAAAACCTCATCCGAAAGCTTCGAAGCTCCACTTGGGACAAGAAAGCCTTGAGAGCTTGAGAGCTGAAACACCACCTTCAAAATTGGACAGAAGCCTGTCAGCACCGTGCCCGGTAAGTTGTCTACTGGCTGAAAACCTCTCCGGCAGCGCGGGAAAAGAGAAAAAGCCAAAAGATATGGCGCAGGTTTCAGTCTCAATCAAACAGGCACATGAGGCTGGCAAAGGAACGTCACGATTCCCCTCTCAGATACAGGGGGGGGGGGGGGGCAATACAAATTCCCCTCTTAAATTCTTAGATACTTCAGATCGATAATGATTGAGTTCACGACAGCAGTGTTCCAGGATAAGGCAAGTTAGTCGACGATAAGCAAACTCGTATCCCCTTCTCTTCAGACTAACATGCTACCTCAAACCGACCCACACACCAGCAGAGCACACATGCATGCAAGAAATGAACAACGCAAGACGCAAGACCTATCATCACCATAAATAGCAGCACTTGGCGGACCTGATTGGAAGCAACATAGGGGCCGAGAAATATTTAGTTATGACAATCCCCACCTTTGGCTCTTCTGTGAATTCATTGCGATCAAAGCTCATCAGAATGCTGTGGCAACAAAGGTCGCTAAACTCCAGATTGCAAAAAACCAACAACACTGGCACAGTAAGGCCACTTGCAGGCACATGACAACTCTGTGTATGTGTGTGTGACAACCATGGCAAATCAATACGGCACACCTAGAACTCGAACCCTAAAAAGTGCATCATCATCTGCGACCCGTGAACTGCAAGTGTTAGGGAGAAAAAGTGAGAAAAGTGCCTAGAAATCCGTGCCGTCTCCAGCCCGAGCGACAAAACAATTGGCGCAAATCAAATATTGACATTGAAAGCCAAGTGAACAATGCAAAACTTGGTGTTTTTTCCCCACACACCAACACACACAAAGCAACAAACAAACAAACCAAGCAAACAAACAAGCAAACAAACAGACAAACTATCAAACAAACAATCAAGCAAACAAACACACAGACCTGTCATCAACCCTTCCCTCGCTCTCAGATTGAGCCTTCGCGCGTAGTGGCACAGTCTTGGGGGTTGAACAGTTGATCGCAAGCAAACATGTGCTTTGAAACGGTCACATCTAATTCTTCTGTGGACCAATTGTTTGCCATCAAAGCTTGCAAACACGGCAACAGGATTCTCTACGCTCCTTTCCTACGGAAACAAAACAACTGATGCAACAAACATGGCAATTCATCTGGCAAACCTGGCGCAGCTGCAACTCGCAAATCGCAAATGCGCTTCCTCTACCGTCCGAAACTGAGAAGCCACGGCCCAAACAACACCGAAGCCACTAGCACGGACACTTGATGCTTAGCTCCCACTCCAGCAAAACTCCCAGCCACACATCTAGAAATTCGGCATCCAAAGCCAACTGAAGCAAGATAGGCTGATTGGGGGGAGTGGCCCTGGCAGCGAGAGAGTTCAAATGGTCCGGCGGTGCTCTCCACCGTGGAGGCCTGGCAGCCGGGATCGCCAATTTGGTTCCCCCAAAGCCACAGCAGCTGCAGGGCAGTGGTGCCCTCCAGGCCGCGGGCCAGTGCCTGCGGGGACGGTGCTCGGCGCAGGTCTTGAGGCTGTGCCTTTTTTGCCCTGGGAAGCAATGACTACGAAGTTAGGCAAGCTCAGCTGGATGTTTGAACAAGCATCAGGCGCTCGTTTCAAGAAGCCTGCGCTGGACATCGTTACGTAAACCGCACAGAATCCATGATTGACATCGCCCTTTCCAGATGCAAGTGACAAGGCACATCCACAACTGGCAAACCATTCTTCTGTGCCAAAAGCAGAGCTCACCGACCCCCGCCCGGCGCGGCAAAACTATCTTCTTGCAACGGAGCAGATTGACATGTTGAAATCTCGGGGGTGTCATGAATAGTCAATTTCTCTTTACTCCTGATTTGGGAGGTTTATCTTACCCCCTCGCCCCCTCAAACTTCCCCTCCCCCTTCCCGCCTGGGCGCCCTTGACCCCGATCTGGTTTTCGCTGAGCCTCAGCGTCTGCAGCCGCGGCATCTGCCGCAGCGCCGCGCCCAGGGCCTGGCCCCAGCCCCCGGCCTCCGCCCCCCGGAGCTCCGCCCCCAACCTCCGCCGAGCCCTTCGAACCCACGGGTTCCGGCCCCAGACCCCGGCGCAGGGAGCATCCGAAAGGTTTGAGCTCCACTTGGGACTCGGGAAAGCTTCGAGAGCTTTGGGCAAAAGCTCAAGCACCAACTTCCGAATCACACTCAGGCAGCGTGCGAAAAGAGTGAAGCCAAAAAAAAGACATGGGGAAGCTGAAGTTCACCAACCCGCAAACGAGGGCCGTCTATGAACTCTCCAAACCCGAGCACCATGTGAACAACAGTTCCGTCAGCAAGGCACGGCTTGTGAAAAAGAGAAGAGAGGCCTTCGGCCCTGAAAGCAGAGTGAGCACGAAAGTTATTGCCGACAAGCATGACAACGTTTGGTGATGTCGGGTTGGGGGTGGTGGGGGGCCAAATCGCAGGTACTTAAGATGGCGAATGATTGTGTTCACGCCAGAAGTGTTCCCAGAGAAGGCAATTGATTGAGACTAACCTCAAAGCCAAGGGCTCCTGCATACCTCTCGCAGGTGTTTCGCTACCTCAACTCGACCCACAAACCACCTGCACACAGGCAAGAGAACAAACAAAGCAAGAGTAAATAGCAACACAGGCTTGGCAGACGCAATTGCAAGCAAGCTGAGCAGCGAAACATTTGACCATCCCCACAGTTGGCTCTTCTGTCAAGCCTATTCATTACCGTCAAAGCTTGTCAATCATGTGGCCACAAAGATCGCTAAATTCCAGACTGCAAAAAAAAGCCACGCTGCCACCCGGAGCCAACACCCAGAGCCACGGGGGGGCAACTCTCTCGTCCCCGGGCTCCGATTGCCCCGGCCTCGGCCCCGGCGTCCCCGAAGCCGTTGGCGTCGAGGTTCAGGTCCCGGAGCCCGCGGTGCCCGGCGAGGGCGGCGGCCAGCGCCTGCCCAGCGACCCAGCGGGCGGCCCGGTGAAGGCCAGGGTGCCACGGGCTCCGCCCGACACTCCGCCCAACACTCCGCCCCAATTCCCCAGTGCAGGGAGCCTCCGAAAGCTTCGAAGCTCCACTTGGGACGAAAACGCCTCGAGAGCGCGAGAGCTGAAACACCACCTGTCAAAGTTGGACAGAAGCCTGTCAGCACTGGTGGCTGGTACAGTAAGTTGTCTACTGGCTGAAAACCTCTCCGGCAGTGCGGGAAAAGAGAAAAAGCCAAAAGATGTGGTGCAGGTTTCAGTCTCAATCAAACAGGCGCATGAGGCTGGCAAAGGAACGTCACGATTTCGAGCACCATTTGGAAGAAGTGACGGCTTGCAAAGCAACTCTATTCGGGCATCTTTCAAGTGAAGAAAGGCGAGCAAGTGGTTGTTCCTGCAATGGCAGAAATACAGGCAGGGGAGAGGGATTTCAGGTAATGAGGGGCAGGATCCATCATTCAAGGAACATGTTGCTTGGAGCTGCGGCTTGTGGCCTGAAAAGCTTGAAACCCATTCCCGGAATTTGGAATGGCAATTTTTGCCATGGTCACGGAATGATGCTCAGGGGCGACTGGGGCAAAAACCATATCTTGGGGCGCTCATGCGCTTATCCGGCATAATTCTCGAAGAATGCTTCAACATATCCCCCAACTCTATCTAACTTTCGGACATACAGCAACACATCATCGCTTTTACGCGTCTGATTTCCAAGGAACCATCATCGGAAGAACATGTGAATTCCTGTCCCTGTTCATCTCAAGGCTTTGGAGCATCCTGGCGCCAGCCTTTTGAACCGACTCTGCAGCCAGCGCAAAAAAAGCAATTCATTGAAGACTCTGCTCATGATATGGCTGAATCCAACAAGTTTTGGCGGGAGTAATCTGACACTGGCCATTATGGAAGGGATCATAAAAAGAAATAGATATCTTCCAACTCAGCCCCCGAAATGCCTGTCATCCATGACCTAAACCTCCAGCCACTTCCTGTCAAAAGCAGGCAGGGATGTTCCACTTCCTGTTGCAGGGAAAATCTGAAAGCTTTGAAGCTCTGCTTGGGGAGCTTTGAGCAAAAGCTCAAACACCACCTTCGCAAATTTGCACAAAAACAATGCAGCATTGTGCCTGGCAAGCGTGATTTGCTAACTGTATGAATAATTGCTGGATTTGCACCCTCTCCGGGAGCGTGGAAAACATATGGGCCATGTGACAGCTGCCTCAAAGCAAACAGAATGCTATTAATGTGCAGCTTACAAAGTTCACCACTCTGCAACGAGGAGCCATCTAAATCTCGCCTAACTCAAGCACCATATGCCAAAAAGTGACTTCCCAAGCGAGGGTAGCCAGGCAGGTCAAGCCTGCAAATCCTGTCGATGCCCTCCCAGCCTTGCAGCCATTGTCGCCGATGCTGTTCTGGAAGAGCCACAGCAGCTCCAGGGGACTGCAATTCTCCAGGCCACGGGCCAAGACCTGCCGCGCTCTCCCCACTCGCACGGTCTTGCCTAAAACAGGCCGTGGCCTCGGGCCACCTGGCCAACCGTGGCCGCGGGCACCCCTCCCGGCACTCACTCTCCCGGTTGAAGATGTCGCTTTCCGCCGGACCACAAGTCGAAAACCTAGCAAGCACAATTGTTGATTCCTGAAATTTCCTGAAGCTAGCGCCAATGTGTTTGTCAAAGCGTGCTCATAATTGAGTTCTGTTCATAGTTGCCAGGGATACAATTCCTAACCACATCAACATTAAGGCTAGTCTCCTCAACGAGGCAACCCCAACCTCCAGCTCTGACAAGTAAGGCACAAGTTTGTTGTTCAAACCTATTGGCCGAACAAGGATTCACAAAAGGAAAGGAGCGGAGAGGTCCGGATGTATCAGGGGACCCTCAAATAGGTTTCTCCTTGACCTTGCCCACCTTGAGGAGGTTACTCATGACAGAACCTTTTGCAGGGCCTAAAGAGGCAAACTTCTTACTATGGAACAGCTAGTCTACCTTCTGAGGGTTTGACAATTATTTTAAAGGAGAGGGGTCTTGAAGCTAAGGGCTCCATGGAGATTTGCCCACCGGAAGCACAGCTTTGGGGACACCCAGCCCTCTCCCCCCTTCCCGTCTCTGCAGCTCGCGGCCTGGGCTCCCTCGTCCCCCGCGTTGCTGTTGATGAGGCTCAGCTCCGCCAGCCGCCTGCAGTGGGGCAGGCAGTCTGCGGCCGCCCGCACCCCGTCCGGACCCAGGTGGCTGAAGCCCAGGCTTGGGGTCACCGCGGTTTTCGACTCGAAGACGTGCCGCTGCAGCCGCAGCACCGGCTCCGCGTCACCGCGGTGGGTGAACTTCAGGCCCCCCGCCCGCACGGCGTCAGCGAAGGCCTCCGGGGTCAGCGGGGCCTCGCAGATCTCCGGCGTGCCCAGGGGGAGGCGCATGCTCTTCCAGGAATTGTCCCTGGAAAGAGACCACTGCTGTTCGGCAGCGCACCACCCCCGCTCGTTGTACGGGGTGTTGTTGGCGTGAAGTGGCCAGTCACTGCAGGTGGCAGGGCACTGTCCACGTTGGTGGGCGGGCGGGGCATGGAGCTTGGCCAGGGGGACGCTGCACACGCCGCGGTCCTTGGCGCTGTACAGACTGACCGCCTCTCTTGGCGGCGCCCACTCCGTGGGCGTCAGATCCTCCAGGCGGAGGGTGTACGTCTCATCATGGCAGTACAGCGTGTGCATCCCCCGCATGGCCGCCTGGAAGTACGGCTCCTCCAGAAACAGCGCGGCATGTGACGCGGCGTCATCTTGGCCCCCAGAGGTGTCTCGAGGCATGAATGTCTTGAGGCATGAACAGAAACACGTCAAGAAAGAGAGAGAGAGAGAGAGAGAGAAAAAAAAAACAGAGAGAGAGAGAGAGAGAGAGAGAGAGAGAGAGAGAGAGAGAAAGCCAGAGAGAGAGGGATAGCGAGAAAGAAAACAAGAGAGAGATGGTGTGTCCTTAACGTTCCGTTCATGTCATTCGTTAGGATTCAAACGCTTGCAAGCATGCATGGAAAGGAACGGACAAAAGATGAAGGAAAAGGATATCATGCAACCTCTGGAAGGAACTGGCCAGCGGGCACTCCCACAATCCTTTCCAAGATTCAAAATTGGAGAGGAATGCCAAAGGAACAGAGCTGAAGACACAAGTGATTTCCAAATGATGTCAACCTCTTGTTCTTTTTCTGGCCGTGGGTTTCTCCAGGGCTTGTGTGACATGACCAATCAACTTGAAGTAAGTCCGAGAGAAATTGTAACGGCTTAGACAGGTCTCAGCGCCCAACGCAGCAGCGACCTGAAACCGTCCAAGCCGGTTAAGGGTTTTACGACATGACGCCACGTGTCCAACTTGCCGCTGCCAACTGATCCCCCCCTTCCTGTCAAACTGCAGGCATTCAACACTTAGCTCTCCTCGGGTTGAAGGCTGGAGACAAAGATTACACCTGCTGCATGGATGACAGTGCGTTCATCGCTGAAAGACCTTGAGGGGCGTCAGGGGTGCTGGGCTGTTGGCTGTTGATTCTCCTGCCTCAACCCTCGCACTAGGGTCGGAGTCCTCCGCCTCACTCCTCTGGAACTGGTGCAGAGACACATAGTCGATGAACACCGCGGCGTCCCAGTTGGGGTCCAGTACGGGGGTGTCCCAATTCAGCCGGCGGGTGACCTCCGCGGGGAAGGCCTCCAGCGCCTCCACCAGCATCGCGAGCTGATAGCCCAGCGGGTCCGGGTGCTCCTGCTTACTTTCCCTCTTGGCCAGAGAAAACAAAACGACCTTTGCAGCTGATTGGCTTGAAAAACCATTCGGAAGAACGCGACGCGACAGCCGGGCCTTGGCCTCCCAGCAGTGCGAGAAGGACAGGATGCTGAAGGCCTGCCAGCCTTGCGTGGCCTTCTGCTCCAACTCGTCGTGGGTGAGCAGCGCAGGCTCTCCGCTGGCCGTCCGTGCCGTCTCCGCCTCTTGGCGCCGGGGCCAGGCGTGCCCGGCTTGGTGCAATTCCCGAAGGAATTGAGGACGCACCAGGCGGACGTTGGCATCGCGCAGGAAGACGAGCAGGCCCGACATGTTCTGCAGGTCGTACTCCTTCCAAGGTGTCCGGATTTAGCTCCTTGGTTAAGAGCTGCTAGCGTTCCCGCTGTCTGTCTAGCTGTGAGTGACAATGCAACACATGGACATATTTCTTGCTGCTTTCTGCTTGCTGAGTGTGCCTTGCTTGTTCCTGCATGCCCTTTGCCCACGCGCTTCCCCTTTCGCTGAATTCTCGCGCCAACGAGGCACCCATGTTTTCGTTTACAATCGATGTGTCTGTGTTAGCAACAGTAATTAAACCTTGTTCTAAAGATATCTGACGGCTAGATAAGAACTGCCCGATTCTCTGTGATGGCGAACTACATCCATGACTACATTTCAACGCAACGGCATGTTCAAGTGCGACGCTTCTAATCCAAGGATGTCCAAACCATGCTCATCATCTAGCAAGCTTCTCCGCAAAGACCCAAGGCTGGACAAACTCGTCTTCCGCGCACCTTGCGCGTTACTTGCGTTACTTCCGCGCTTCTTCGGCCCTTTTCCTCCCGTGTTTCTGTTGTTTGTCATATGGGCCCCAACATGCGCATCCACACGCTTTGTGTGGTTGGGGCCATTTGGAACCTCCTCCGCGCACACGCCGTGTTAGCCTGGAAACTTGGAACACTACACCTCAAATCGAGGTCCAAGTACAAATTTCGGCACAAATCCATTCCTCACGGCTGATTTGCCTGCCTGTAAAAAATACCTGCTTTTTGTTGATCGTGCTAACCATGCCCCTCATCTCTTCGGGAAATCAACCAACATGACAAATGCTCCAATGCTCTCCCGATGATCCACAATGATCCTGGGAAACCACCAACATGCACTGCAGCTACCTCTAATAAGTATCTAGAAACACATGGTTCCTTTTTGCCATCGAATCTAAACAAAACACTCCCACAACACTCCCCCAAGCTGTGCCCCAACGCCCCAAGAAGGGCTCCGCCCGAACGGCCGCTCCTGCGGCTCGCTCTCCTGCCGGGCGGAGGCGTCCAACCCTTGCAGGCGATCAACAGCAAACCCACGTTCAGATTTTTACCAACAATTTTCGGTTTTGCCTCTTTTGATGGTCAGTTGATCTTGAAACTCTTGCTTTTCATTTGTTGACGCCGCAAGCAATCAAAGTGTCAGTCTTGCACACAATGCAAAGCGTGGGATGCGTGCTACCAGAGGTACAACTGGCCCGTGCGGGACAGGCTGCAGGATGCTGGTTGGCTCGAGGCCAAGAAGCAGCAGCGCAGCTACATCGAGGTCTTAGAGCTGGCAGGCGTCATCGTGCAACGGCCAAAGGTTTTTGACACTCAAGTGCTTTTTATTGGGCTCTGGGCGCGACATTGCGACAAACGGGCCCTTGGATCTGCACGGAGCTCCCACAGACACAACTGGGAATCGTCTTGAGTTTCAAGGCATGTTGGGCTGTTTGCGTGTGTTTGGCTGAGACCAGTTCAAGGTGTGTCGTCCCAAAATCGGCGTAAGCCTAGGTCAGCCTGCTGCAAAGCATCCCCAGAGTTATTGACCAGTGCAAGTTCAGCAACCGCATCCCTGGCATCTCTACCTCGTCACCTTCCCTCATCCATTTGCGTGCTGCGTGGGCTCAATGGTTAAATACAGCACTTATCAGGGCTCCAACGGCGTGGCCTGCAAAAATCGTGGGTTCAGCCGGGCCTTCGAGCCTGGTGTGAAAGAAGCTTGATTGTGGCTCAACGGTGGCGAGCCAGGGGATGTTTCTGAGTTCCCAGCCGTGCATTTGAGACTGCTCCACCCAAGGCCGTTTCAGCAGCCCAATTGAACCCAACTCCATGATACAAAAGTCGAAAAATACTGACCCCTACGTGTGTTTGAACTATCAGGCTCCATGCCTCACTGCCATATTGTATGCTCACCTGCATTGAAGCAGACTTCCGAGCCGGCAAGTCCATTCTGGCCATCCTTTGTCGTATTGAGCACGCGGCGCTTGTTCAACTGTCGTATAGGTAGAACTGTTTTTGTCAGGCGCAAGATTCTAAGTACGTAACATGTTTGCAGGATTACCACGCATTTTAGTGTGTTCGTCACTAATGCAAGCCACCGTTCGCCATCCTGGGGCGACAAGGCAAGAATGGGATACGGCTAAGAAACAACTCTTAGAAGAGCCGCTGTATCTTTGCTGGTCAACTCCATCTTCAACTACTTGTGAGGGGCATCGCAATACGCGAGCGTAATGTGGCAAAAAGGGTGATGCGTCGTGGTGATGTTGGAGGCATCTTGGTGATGCGCGCTAGAGCACGTTGTGCTAAAACTTTAGATATTGTTGATTATCTTCCAGCCACCAAGCCACTTCCATGGTGGCAGCTCCAAATCCCTCCCCCAGCCTCCCTCCCCTCTCAAGGCTAAACAGAACTGGCTGACACCCATGTTTCTGATTCAAATCCTCAGAATGCACACCATGCTGCGACATGGCACAACAACCCGAGCGCGCCTCTCCCTTCTTCCTGTCTTGTTGATTGTCACCTCCGCGCACAAACTTCTGTCCGCCCTCTCTGTCAAAATGACCTGGGCAAACTCTGTGTTGTGTATGTGTGTGCATGCGGGCGTGATTTGAGTGTTCTATCTGAACCACGTACAAAAACTCTCTGTGAACGCCACTCTAACTACTCACACTTTCTCCACTCTTTGTTGCACGGTCTGAGCCACCGGCCCGATACTTCTTGCGCAGCGGCCTGTCAGCGGAGCGGGAAGTCTCTCGCAAGATCAGTTTCCTTTGCCCTGGTGCCTCAGTAACCCTATCGATCGAGCGATCACCCATACCTTCCAGTGCAACTTCAAAAAAGCAAAGCTAGTAGTTCCATCACATTGGCTTGTGATCGTCTTGACCGCTGGCAAAGGGATGGCACAGGGAACTGCTCCTGGCACCAGACATGTTTCTCTTTCGCGACGGCGAAATGCTGGGAAACCGAGTTGAACTGTTTGTTTCGTTCGCCATCCCAGACTTGACCCGCAAGGGTCCCCGTTCGCAATCCTCATGCTAAGCCAAGAGCATCCCCAGGCTCCTAACGACCCCTGTCTCTTTGCAGTCCAAGTGTTCAAAGAGCTAAATGAACTTCCATGCAGGGTTTCGGCGCCGCGTGATTTTTTGGCGGCAAATGCACGATTCTGCAACAGCCATCCAAGTGATCGCTGTCTGTTGCTGCATCGGCAGCTCAGCTGACTATGCATGAGCTTGCATTCAGCTATGGTCAACTCGGGCAGCCCGTACGGGTTCTAGCACACGCGATCTGGCAAGTGTGGCAAGTGTGGCATGGTCGCATCAAGTGCCGTGAATCGCAGCCCCGTGTGTCATGCTGACGCTAACGTTGGCTTAGCTATTCCTGATTCCCTCTCACGCGCGCTTGACTTTACCCGGCCCTAGGGCACGTGAGAACGCTCTGGACAAGATAGTTGGCATATTGGTGAGAGTCCCGCCTGGGGAGGGAGATGTGGAATTTGTAGAATCAAGAGAGCGCAGTGTAGCTGCCGACTCGTACTGTTTCAAGGCAGGGCCTATCTTAAGCAGTCCCCGTTTCAGCCGTGTTTTGTGTGTGGCAACTATTGCCAGCTTGAGATGTGTCACCAAAGTGAGCAGTCAGCATCAACGAAGCAATGTCCTGGCAAATGGAACAACTCCCTTCCCTCCGAATTTGGGAGCTTTCGGGACCCAGAAGGCGCAAGGACTTCTGGCAGGGGTGTCTACACGCGGATCCGTGTTGGGCCTGCTCAGCTCTTCGGTTGCGCTGCGCAGGCTGTGACGTTGACTGTGACTGGCTTCGATCGGGAGACTTTGCAGCCGCTGGCCACCGGGCGGCGGCAATATGTTGCATGCCGCGGGCAAGACTTTCAGACAGCGTCAAGACCCACGACAAACGCACCCTGATGACAACTCAGCAAGGAGGATTACGCGGACATCCTGACTGTCTGGTTGTTGCCAGCACCGACTGCAGCCGCCCCAACAGCTACGGCTCCAACATGCTCCACCCACGGCCAACAAGGACAGGAGAAACCTCTGACCGCAGCTTGAAGATGGCAAGATGGCTTTTGACTTTTGACAGCCTGCAGTCCAGAAACATTTGCATGGTATCCAATGTCGACATAGTGTGCCTGCCTCGCACACCAAACGCAAGCAGGCAACCGGGCTACCGCGTCATCAACAGTTGCATTGTCTCGAAGTATCTGAAAACAGAAGTCAAACATGTTCGTCTTTAACATGTGACATGACATGCATCGGGCAGACCATGCGATGATGCCATTACTTGTCAGCCTTTCACTACAGCAATTGCTCGAGATCAAGAAAACGCAAAATCCCCAACAATTAGACACGCGGAATGCAACTCAATCAAGGCAACTTGAAAATGACTGGCAACAGTCGCACGGGTAGAAATCATAGCTCGCGGCTCGAAGCCCTTTTGTAGCTTAGCTTTGGGCCGTGCGAGTCCCGAGCTTCCTTCGTTCACTCAGCTTAAGCCATGCTTAGGATGGCAAGACTGCGAGGAACCTTCATGTCTGTGCGCCTCGCTGTTCGTGGCCGCACGCAGCACGTCTGTCATTCCCATTTTTCTTCTCCGGCTGTTCGACTTTTTCCAATTTGCTGTTGCTCTTCTCGGGCTGGTCTGGGCTGGTCTGGCAAAACCGAAGGCACCGAAAGGTCCCAGACTGAGCCCGCCTGGGCGCCTGGATCCTGCAACTCGGCACCGCTCACTGCCTCCTGCAGGACATGAAGGTCTGTGCAAATCTTTGGCGGCATGCCCAACTGCCTCAAATGGTTCTCTTAAAGGTGGCATTTGGTTGGCGGTGACCACATGCGTCAAACAAAATTCGCTTTGTTTAACTCCTCAAGTTTCCCCCCCGCAGCCGGGGCTTCTCGCGGCTCTTTTGCAACCTGTCACATTCCCTCATGCCTCAAGGCATGTGCTCCTTTGGGCAGAACTGCCGGCCACGTGTCTGTCACAAACAGCAATTCTGGCTGGACTCTCAAGCCCTCGGAA